TTGACAAACATTTAATGGACAAACCCTGTACATTTACTCTAAGTTCTAAGTTCTCAAATTGAAAACACTGTTCCACCTTGATGTCATGCGGCGATACAGCCCTACATTAAAGTATGTTTGTAGTTTTATTATTATCTGGCGTGTTTAGTCTGGCATGTTTAGTCACTATAGACATCTTTGTTGCGCATACAAAGGATCTGTGATGCTGACAGAACCTCGCACTCCTCTGCTATTTTGGCGCCGATGTCACCGTAGGCGATTGCACAAACAGTGATTTAATCCTCCTGTCACTAAACGTCTTTGATTTCTGATTATATCTATAGACATAATGATAGTACATACCAAAGATCAGTAATGTTAACAGGACCTCTCACTCTTGTGCTGGTTGGGAGCTGATGTCACCTTAGGCCAGTCATTTAATCCTCCTGTCACTAAACTCTTTTGTTCCTTTGACGAAAACACGCGTGGCATCTGTGCGGTAGGTTTGTGAAAACAAACATGTTTGCGGTATCACATTTGCATACTAAGACTTGCATCACACTTTTCCACATGACTACTTATCACAGAGGACCTAAACCAAATCAAAATAGTTTTAACATATTAAGTAGGGCAACACAATATGATAATGTGCCAGTGGAAGAAATACTCAATTTTGTTATGTAAAATTACATACAAAAGTAAAGATTAAAGAGAAAAGTAACCAGTCTTTAGAGTGAAAGGGCATATTTTGAGGTGTTCTAAAGCTTCAAATGTCATGATTTTCATACAGACCTGTGCTGAATTTTGTTCAGTAGAAACAATTGAATCAGTGATTTTTTTCTAGCTGTTTTTCTTTGTATATATTTTTGTTTGCTCAAACTAAAATCGTTTCAAAATAAACCCTCAGCCTTTTTAGCAGGTCTGACTCAGACTCTATCCATAAATGACTCCCATTGACTTACATTGAAATATTGTGGCCCCTCCCTCTGTAACTGCTGCTGTGAGCCTTGTCATTTTGGTTTTAAAATGTTTGTATCAGCCCACTCTACGTGATTCTGGTGTTTTTATTTTTCATTGTTTTGTCCATCAAAAAATCCTGTTCATAATATAGAGCCTGGCTCCAAATTCACTCCTGTACCGTTCATTTGAGTGCAGCTGAACACTGTGGGTGACGTTTTCAGTCTTATTAAAAAATGTAGAGGAACTATATTTGCTCTTAAGTGTAGTGAAATAAAAGTTTGAATTTTAAAGTAAAGAACACATACCTAAAATGTTTACTTTAGTGCAATACTTTACTACTTCTTTACCTTCCACCACTGAAAAAGGGGATAGGCATTTAGTTGTTTAGTCAATGAATCTGTCTATGAGTCAACTTATTATTTTATTATGATTATAGGGATTATTTAATTGGTGAGTGAGTGAGCTGAATATTCAGTATTTTATTTTGATATGTACATCATATATCAAAAGACAGATTAAACACAGTGATTCACAAGTTGAATCTTTTTATATATATATTTTTTTTTTCCTCAAAGTTTTTCTGGATAAATAGTAGTTTTTGCATGAACTCCCCCTGCAGGTGTAGTCTTGTGAGTGCAGTTTGGGTCAGATACAGGGGTACTGAATAGTTTTGAGAGCTTTTGACACAGTCCCTTTTTAATATAGTTTTGGACACAGAAAGTTATCTTGAATGTAATAATGAACTTAAAAAGGACAAAAGAAAATTAACATTTTTAACATTTAACATTTTTTGCTGTCCTTCCTCTGTACCATAGCTATATACCACCTTTAACATCAACACAATCATAGCGATGGTCAGTCTGATTTGTGGACAAAAGATTTCAGTTTCTGTAGTAACTGTATCTGTACCATTTATTCACTGTCCCTCCTCTGTACCACTTTGCGTCTTATTATCCATTGTAGCACATGTATTCCCATGTTTGCACCTGACACCACACACATGACAGATTTGCATACTACCAAAGTGCTTTTGGGCATAGCACTGACAGGTGGTCTTAAATCACACTGATACACTGACAGATGACTTAAGGATATTTGCATATCCCACTGGTGTAACTTGAGCTAAAGCTAGGCTTAAGGCTACATTCAGACTGCGGGGCTTAATGCTCAATTCAGATTTTTTTGTGAAATCAGTTTTTTTTGTGAGGTCGTTCACATTTCCAGTTAAACCCGACTTGTATTGGATCTCCAGTGTGAACTTTAAATGCCCCAAAAGTGTCCTGCATGAGCATTGAAGGACAGGACGACATCACACACAGCGAGCATGCTCAGTGTTTACGGAAGTCGCCTAAACGCTGGGTTTGTCACCTAAAATATGGTCCAGTTTTTCGTAAAATGGACAGGTTGCACGTCCATAGCTGCTTCGTTTGTTTGAATCTTTAACCTCCTTGTATTTGGCACGCAGAGTCTTTATTTTCCGTTGACACTGGAGCCAGGACCGCCTGTAGCCACGCTCGGACATTTCTTTGGCAATCATTTCAAAAACCGCCCGGTTCCGATAAGACCTCTTCAATTTGGCCTGAATACAGCGATCCCCCCAAATATTAATCAACTCGTTAACCTTGCTTTCCCTCCATCGACTAGACTCTGAACCTGACGTGTAGTTTGGATGATTGTGACCTGGCCGTTCAGACTGAAGTCTCATCTCAAAGATCGGATATGTGTCGGTTTTAGGAGCACATATCCAAGTGGTCTGGGTGTGTCGTTCAAACTGTCATTAAAAGATCAGACACACGTCGTAAAGGGGCAAAAAAATTTTAGTCACTTAAGGCTGTACTCTGAACATAGCCTTAGTCATTTTAATTGTAGTTTATTAATAATACAACTATATAAGAAACAGGTGTGAAACCAATTTTCATTCCACAGTGGTAATAATAAACACGTGGAATCTGTGTGCTACGTTTCTGAACACACATATGTTTGAGATAATACCTTTGCATATTGAAACTAAATTGCATCATACTTTTCAACATGACAACTTATCACAGAGGACTTGAGACAAATCATAATAGTTTTAACGTTGGCATTCTACATATTTTCGAGTAGGGCAATGCAATATAAAAAAGGGACAGTGGTGGAAGAAATAGTTGATTTTGTAACTTAAGTAAAAGTACAGATACTGGAGTCAAAATATTCTCAAGTAAAATTAAAAGTCACATGAAAAAACTTGAAGTAAAAGCCGTAAGTAAAAGCATTCTCAAGTAAAAATAAAAGGTACCTGTTTAAAAATGTCATTGAAGAGTAAAAAGTAAAAGTAGTTAGCTGATATTTTAAGATCTAATAAAGCTTCAAATGTTAGTGATTTTGATACAGATTTGTACTGAATTTTCTTTTTTTTTTTTGTATACTTTTTTTGCTCAAACTAAGAATGTGTTCAAAATGAACTCTCAGCCTTTTCAGCACAATAATAAAAAATACTTTTACTTTTCAGTCCAGTTAAAAAATGTAGTGGAGTAGAAAGTACAGTCTCTCTAATGTAGTGAAGGAAAAGTAAAAAGTATACACTGTACATTTTAAAGTAAAGAACGGATACCTAAAATGTTTACTTACGTACAGTACTTTATTACTTTTACTTCATTACCGTATTTTCTGGGCTATTAGGTGCTCTGGATTATAAGGCGCACTGTCATCATATGGTCTATTTTCGAACTTTTTTCCACTAATAAACCGCACCGGACTTTAAATGAAACACAACAGTTAAATGGCTCAGTCGGACTTTGTTTGTGGCGTTCACGGTGACTTTGGGCTTTGTTCAGTTGTGACGTGTAGGGAGGGTGCTGTCTGGGACCGCTGGATTGTTGGCGTGTTCGCAGTGACTCAGTTGTGTCTAGAAGTGGCACATTGCACTCGCTTTTTCGGTTCATTCCTCTGTTCCGTTCCTCGTCGGCGTGGAGTGATGAGTGTGTCTGCGGGTGTTTTCCGCTGCACAGTCGCCGTCTGCTCCGTGTGTGTTTGCGTGCGCTGCGGGTGGTGCGGCTTTGTAGTTTACTGAAGTCGTGCTGAGACACCCGAGTGGATTCGTGTATAGGGCGCTCTGCATTGCGGGGTGCGGTTGTTTTTTGATGGGGTTGGAGGCTTAAGAGCGCGCCTAATAACCAGCCTAATAGCCCGGAAAATACGGTACCTTTCACCATTAAAAAAAAGGGATAGGCATTTAGTCGCTTAGTCAATGAATCTGTCTTTGTATGAGTCAACTAATTATTGTATTTAGATTATAGGGATTTATTTAATTGGTGAATGAGTGAGCTGAAGATTTTGTATTTTTTGGTATTTACATGTCAAATGTTTTTGCTGTCCCTCCTCTGTACCATAGACACATACCTCCTTTAACATCAAGACATCGTAATTATGGTCCGTCTGATTTGTGGACAAAAGATTTCAGTTTCTGTAGTAACACCAGAAACGTTCCTTTGTACCACATTGTGTCTTATCATGCATTGTAGCACATGTATTCGCATGTCTGCACGTCACTCTCCAGACATGACTGGTCTGATTTGCATATTAACAAAATACTTTTGGTCATGACACTGACATGGACAGATGACTTGAGGATCTTATTTGTGTACTCCACTGAAGTAACTTGAGCTAAAGCCAGACTTGAGTCATTTTAATTGTATCTCATTAGTAATGTAACTACCTAAGGAAAGGGTGTGAAGCCAATTTTGATTCCACAATGGTAATAAAACATTGTTAAACAATAGAATTTAAACACAGTATTAGTAGTATCTTTCTTTCTCAAACTACTCAGAAAACACTCCCATTTTTCAGTGATTTTGTTTACATCATTTTTTGAGTATCACATTTTGATATTAGTTTTAATTTAACTGGGTATTTTTATTTAATCACTCATTCGAATCACAACATACAGAAAAAAACGCAAGGACTAAAATGGGAGCTTAAATTAGGGCAAAATGGGACTGGACCGGGACGTTCATGTAAACTGATTACACTGCTTCAGCTGAAATGTGTAATAGTGAATTCATGTGTTTTTGTCTCCACAGCTCACAAAGGAGAAGGAACACGGGAAGCTCAACCCTCGGCCCGGAAAGGTAACTATCATCTTATTTTAAAATCTATTATGCTACAAATATAAATAACTGTATGTGACCTGGGCTCTTACTGCTGTGTACAATCACATCTGATCATGTGTTGCCAGAGCCTTAACCTGCACATAGAGAACACAGAAATCCGTGTATCATTTGTTCATTAGTTTTTCAAAATAAAACCAAAAATTAGAAAATGAAAAAACAACTATTTTCTTCATTATTTGTCTCCATAACCAAAATGAAAAATCGGATAAGGAATAGTTTTTTTCAGTTTTCGATTTTGTGTTTAAATAAATAATGGAAAAAACTGATGAACGGCCGTTTCCCGTTTCCGTGTCTTAAACTGCGATGCCGGACTGAACCAGGACTGAACCAGGACTGAACCAGGACTGAACCAGGACTGAACCAGGACTGAACCAGGACTGAACCAGATTGAACTGAACCAGGACTAAATCAGGACTAAATCAGGACTGAGTGTTGGAACAGCCAGGAGGTGCGCCCGCATAGACTGTTGGATGATTGGGACCGGGACTGGGACTGGGACTGGGACCGGGACCGGGACCGGGACAGGGACTGAGACCGGGACTGAGACCGAGAATAGTCCTGGTTTAGTCCTGGTTTAGTCCGGCATCGCAGTTTAAGTCATGGATTCTGTCTGCAGGTGCTCACATAAGCCACTTGGCCATCATGTTTTAAGTATTAAGAATAAATCAGCATTGCAATGGTTATCAGTGAAAGCTATATTTGATTTGAAAATGTTTACCTTGTATCTCGGGACACAGTTAGGCCAAGTTTATGAAATTTAAAATCAGAATCTCCCATATGTTCTTTTAAGTTTTCTTAGCTTTTACAATGTTTACAAAGCTTAACTACTGCAATATATGACTTTACACACGCTTATGTCTCACTTATTAAACAATGTCGGATTACCTTGTTTAGTGCCACTGTGACTAAACCTTAAACCATGAGGCAGGACCTGATGGACCACATCTCCAAAGCCTCAGGAATGAGCTGAGATTTCACTATGTAAACAGGCACCCGGTGCTAGAAGCCTGCCGCTCACATGTCAAAACTGAAGTGTGACAAACGTGAATTATGGCCCAGACTAAGACGATAAACAAAACTTTGAAAACAAAAAATGCAAGTTGTAAATTTTGATTTAAGTTTCACACCCTGTATGGTCTAGACACATGTAGAAGGGCTGGGATTTAAAAAGGTGCATGACAGATCAGACTACTCATTTCACTGAAACATAGCTGACATTATATTTAAATGTTGTTTCCTGGTTAGTGGTAATTCCATAATTGTTACCTAGCTACTGTGATGTTGAAGACGGCTTAACGCACAATAGTTATGATTAGACTAATACAAATAAATGGGAACACCTTTATTTTGTTAAAGGCTGATTTAATTTAGCAGAAAAAACCTTCCTTATCCGTAAATTGTTCTTATATTTTTGTACTTTTCTTCTTGGTATATTCCCACAAACTTCCACTTAACTGATGTAAAACTGTGATAAATACTGACCACAGGTACTGGCCCACCAAACCAAAAGTCAGAATCAGAAAAACATAAAAATGTGTACTTTAAAGGTCCTATATTACACAGAATTTACTTATAGAAGTTATAATGATTTTACCTCCTCAAAAACAGACCTGGAGTTGTGTTTTGCTTTATTCACACGTTTGAGTAATCCTGTATTATTAGTCAAAGCTCGGATTTTTATTTATTTATTTTTTCAGTAGAGATGATCAATTCCAGTTCTAAAATCAGCCAAATGTTTCTAGTGAACGTGTATGGAGTTTAAAAAACACAGTGGAGCCCCTCCTGTATTACCACATATGATATGACATATCACAAGGTGGAACAGAGTTTTTCCAAGAATTCCAACAACATTCTAACATAGATCAAAAAATAGGTTATTTACTGTAATTAATAATTTTGAATCTCTACAACAATGAAAAAAGTAGTTGGGGGGGGGAGGGGACCTAAACCCAGGACCGAACCAGGACCGAATCAAGGCCTAGACAAACAAGACTAACCCCGGACTAAACAAACCCGGACTAAACAAACCAGGTCTAAAACCAGGACAGAACCAGGTCTAAAACCAGGACTGAACCAGGTCTAAAACCAGGACTGAACCAGGTCTAAACCAGGACTGAACCAGGTCTAAAACCAGGACTGAACCAGGTTTAAAACCGGGACTGAATCAAGGCCTAGACAAACCAAGACTAACCTTAGACTAAACAAACCAGGACTAAACCAGGATTGACCCTGGACCAATCTAGGCCTAGAAAAACCAAGACTAACCTCGGACTAAACAAACCAGGACCAAATCTAGGACCAAACCAGTTTTATTACAAGATAAATTTGACATGAAATGGCAAAAATCAGGTGCACTCCTTTTAAATCCGGGTTAATGGACTCGTTGGATTTCCCCGGTCCTGACCTCCGTTAGTTCTTGTTGGGTCACTGAAATGTCGAGCCTGCTGCAGCCTGTATGTGCACACTGAGCTCTTCTCACTCACACTGCTGGTTTAAGAGGAGGAGCTGACATTTAGATCTGCCTCTGGGGATCTCACAGCACAAATATACGTACCTGTACTGAACTGATAAAAATGCTTTGTTTAAAAGTTGAGTGTCATAAAGATCTGGGACTATAATAACACAGGGCAGATTACCACAGGGAGTTTGACATTTCAAAGTATGTACAAATGGAAGTGGATAAGGTCAAGCATATGGATCATAGCTTCAGGAATTAGGTTTAGGAATTGGGTAAGGTGTGTGGCAGAGTGATTATCCTGTCTCCAGTCTCATCCTCTCAGTACAGGAGTTGTGGGTTAGACTCCTGAATTCTCCCAGAGTGTGCTTATCCGTTGGTTTCAGCCTTTACCGTTACACCCGTAGTGATTATTAAACAAAAATCATGGTTCAGAATGTACCTCGGGTTTGAGGTCACGGTTTGGTTAATTTACTTGTTTATTTGTGTGTTTATTAAGCCAACAGTTTGTTTTAACATTATACAGACGGGAATATAAAATAAATGCAAATTTTGCTTGATAATACTAATAAGTTAAGTAAAGTATTCTCAAATAAGCAACAAATGTATGAAATATTATAAAAAATAAATTCCTTGTAAACAGTAAACAAAACTTTTCAAAAAGTAAAGTGCAGCACTAACAGTTCCAGCATGACGTTTTACTCAATCTTAATTTTTTTGGATAGAAAAAACAACACATTGTCTAAAAGTGAGGACCGAGGTACGACATAGTTTTGCGAGGATTTACGTGGTTTGGAGGGAAGTAGTCAAGGCGGGAGGCATTTGTTTGTCAAGGTGGCCGCCCTAACTATAAAGCACTGAGGGAGACACTGTAGCTACACATGTAGTGGCAGAATGTAAACACACACATTGTGTGAATTCACTCGTGCACAGCCCTGCACCAAACCAAACGTCCCGTATTGAAACAGTTCGGCATGAATACATGTACAGTTACACCCCTATTAATTACTGATACAATGAATGAGAAATGAAAGAATCGGTGTGTAACTTTTTTAGTGGTGTATCTGCTACCTGCTTTTCTTAATGGAGCTGTCATTGCTTCACCTGGAATGTTCCACAATATGGCATTTATTCAATGGTTCAGTGGTTATAATACTCAGAAAGGGCTTATTCTTACTGTGAACTGGACTGCATCTCCTCAGACCTGACCGGTAGCTTGGCCTTGTAGAGTCACATTTTCATGGAGATAGAGGAGTATAATGCTATACTTTGGAACATTCCAGACAAAGCAATAGCATCTCCATGGTGACAAGCTGTAGTACACTCGGAACTTTATATAGTGTACCTCTAAAGGGCCCCTATTACTCTATTTTCTGATCTATGTTTTCATGTTGTTTACTCGTCACACACACATTTAATATACAAACTCTGCAGATTTATGCTGAGTTCTTCTATCAAACAGAAAACACTCTGCTCCACCTTGTGATGTCATGTGGTAATACAGGAAATGCTCCACTGTGTTTTTAAACTCCATACACCTTCACTAGAATCATTTGGATCATTTCAAACCTGGAATTGCCAATGTCTACTCAACAGAAGGTAAAATATAGCTGTTAACCTGAAAAGTACCGCTTCATGACATCACAAAGTGGAACAGACCATTTTGAGCTTTGGAGACGGTGACAGACTAGCTTACCCTTCTTTCAGCACTCTGCCATCACTTATGCACACATATCCAGCATCTCAATTTAAATTTGCTCAACCGTCTTTGAACAATGCAAAACCACATTCTTGGCGTACGTCCCATTTAAACACATTTCGCATATTATTAAATTTTATTGCTCTGCGTCTCGTTTTGAAGTGTTTTCAATGAGCAGTTCTTAATGCTTTTTCTTCATGTTTTGTTTTGCAGATGTATCTGTTTGACCGCGCCGGCATGTGTGGACAGAGGACTGAAATTCGCGGTGATGTTGTGGACGCGACTTCGTGGGAGCTGGAGGAAACCATCTCCATCAGAGTGCTGAGAGGAGGGTGAGTGAGAAACTACAGTGTGCATGGACAGTTAAAGGTGCTGTACTTGATTTTTACTGTCTTAAGAATATGAAAACAGGGCTAGTTAGTTTGAAACAGTTTGCAGTGGGGCCAAAGTTATTCCTCACTAACCTTATGCATCCTAAAGCATCCTAATTATCCACCACGATGAGTTTATAAGAGCTTTTCACAACTTTCAGAAGCCAGTGTGGAGTTTACTGTCACAATAATAACTAGCATGCTAACACTGCAAAAGCCTTACTATCTGGTTCACAACAGATAAAATGTCTGCTAAGTGCCGATACTTATATGCAGGCAGTACACAGTGTACTTTGACCCTAAGAGCTACTTATTAGGTTATGTTTACACTGAAACAAATCACCGTATCAGAAACTTGTGCCCAGACCTGTCGTTTCTGTGTCCGCAATCAAAGCCCTCCCGTATCCACACAGTAATACTGCCTGCTAGTCACATGCCTAGCCTGGCGACATCGTCACGATGTCACGTGGGTCATAGTGTCATAGTCATAGTGACATGGTCCAATTAGGATGCAACTAGAGCTCCTACATCAGCATATCAACGTTTTCAAGCATCCATACACGGATCAGATCTGTACTCAGATGAATTCGTGGGAGCTGGTGGCAACGTCTCTGGAGCCGTTTTCCATTGGATTAGTGTGGACGAAAATGACTCAAATACATACTAGTGTGGATGGGACCTTACGGTGGTCCTTACTTATGAACTTTTAAAATCATATGGTGTGACCTTCCCAAAATGCTCCAATTGAGAAGAAATTGTGGTCTTTAATGTTTAATGAAAATACATTCATATTTACAGGTAGCTCAAATGCCCTGAAGTTTCTGTAACTGATGCAGTTTCAGTGCTCTTTATCATGATCATCATTTGCTCCTATATGTCATACATGGCCTATGTCAAGATATTAACTAGATTAACTAGATCCTCATTTGAGCAGGTATCGATACTAAAAAAGTGATTCAGAGGACAGAAAGGAACCTTTTTTTTAGTTAACACATTGTGTATCTCTGGGAGGGTGCGGTCATTTGCATATTGATTTGTCACAGGTGTTCCCACAATGCTTTGCTTCTGTTTTGAATATACCTTGAGGAAAAGCATACACATTTGCAGTATTGTTGTGTTTATTTATCTGTTTATTCCTTGTGTCATCACCTCCCAATCAAACCACTTCTTGTTTTACCACTTTACCAAGCTCGGCTTCTTCAGAAATCTGACTCTGTCATTAAACACTGCTCAGATTACAGATGCTTTGTCAAAACAAAACTCTATTGATCCACGTTGTTTCAGATGCATGCCTCGAATAGTGCACACACCCACAGAGCTCCTATGCACACGTGAGAGAGAGAGGAGGAAAGAATACAACACAAAATCAAAGGGGCAGTTTTGATGGGTTTAAACTTTTCTACTGAAATCTCTAATCTCAATCTCTAATCGACCGCTCAGAGTTTCCACATGTTCAGTCAAAACAAATCAAAATAATAATGGGTCCGATTTATATAATAATTTTTTTGGATGCTTTACAGAGCATTATTCATTCACTTCACACTTTGTGGTGGTCAGATGCTATTGTAGCCACAGCTGTCCTGGGACAGACTGACAGAAGTGAGGTTAAACTTTATTGATCGTCTGTGTTTAGTGTAAAGACTTCAGACTAAAACTAAATTAATATTTCAATTAACTGATTCTGACAATTTTCAGATGTTATTTTGGTGTCCGATCTTGATTTGACTTTTGATTATAATGTTTTTTTTTTTTTTTTTACTGTATTAGTATAATGTACAGAAACATTTCTGCAGATGTCCCAGAATGGGCATTTGCCATCTCACTGGACAGAAGAGTCACCCTCAAAAACTAATCCATCCTAATCTCTTAGATTACATAGAATGTAAAGATGTACAGATTGTTTAGGCTACAATAAAATAAGACTTTATAGAAAACACATTTAAAAATATGGCATTGCAAGTTTGTGAAAACATAACTGACTATTGATTGTTTTTGAGAATAGTTTGACTAAATATGTTCATATGCACATTCTAATGTAGCATATCCTCAAACCAACTATTGCAGTATGATACCTGTTTGAATATATCTGACCAAAACACTTTATTTAGCCATACTGAATGACTATACAATGATTCTGATTTGAACCTTTGGATTTTGACACTTCTGACGCATGCAGAACTCAACACGTGAGAAGTAGAGCACATTATATCCATGACTTTATCAGCAAAGATGAAAATTCATTTCATTGAATACAAATGTGTGGAAATGAGTGGTCGTTCTTATTTTAATTATACTGATCAAAAACAAAAAATCTGAAACAGCAGAATGTGTTAAAATACATACAATTCTTGGGGACTTTTTCAGTTACATCTTTCCTGATTCACGTGTGTCTGACCGCACTGCCCCCTTGTGTTCACAGATGGGTGCTGTACGAAAAGCCTGATTTTAAAGGAGAGAAGATCGCTCTGGACGAGGGCGAGATTGAGCTGACGAATCCTTTTGGTCCAATGGAAGAGCAGATGCCGCAGGTGAACGGACAGATGAACGGACAGGTGAACGGGCAGGTGAATGGAGGGCACATGAACGAAACAAACGGAGAACAGGAAACAACTGATTCGCCAACAGAGGATAAGAAAGTCCGGAGGTGTGTGATCGGGTCCATTCGGCGAGTGGTCAGAGTAAGTGCGCTAAATATCCACTGTTAGAGTATCTTAAATAATAGTAGTAATAATAATAATAATAATAATAATAATAATAATAATCAGTCTTATGTATCACTTATCCAGATGTTCAAAACCACTTTACAGTTTCATGCATTATTCACATTCACACTCACATTCACAAGTGGCCAATGCAGTAAATTATTTTAATATTTACAATTGATGCAAATATATAATAAAATGGGGTAAAAGTAATTGATCATTGTTGACTGGCAATGAAAATGAATGGAATAATTGGTTCCAAAAGTGTTAAATTGAACTATAGTGTGTTTTTAATTGTGGAATTTACTTATTGCAGCTTTTGTGTTATTTAAAAATATGTTTCAAATGGGTTTGCTGCCTTTAAAGATACACAATGTAATTTTTCCACCTCCTTGTCCCCATGGAGATGCTTTTGAATGTTACAAAATATGGCCTTAAACGTCTCTAGTATTTACATAGTTTCAGGTGTTTTTATTGCCTTAAAACATGGTGAAAGCGGGATTGCCTCTCCACAGATCTACCCTATAACGTGGCATGTTGGCGTCCCCGCTCGCCTCTGTGGAGACAAATGACTTTAATGCCATATTGTGTAACATTTCAGGCAATAACATGTCCATAAAGACGAGCAGTGCACCTTTATGTCCGTCTAAATACCTGTTGTTTTGGGTATTTCAGGACTACAGTGTTCCAGAGATTAGTCTGTTCCCAGAGGAGAACGCAGAGGGGAAGAAGGTGGTTTTCAGAGACACTTCAGAAGACGCTCGGATCTTTGGTTTCCCCATCAAAGCAAACTCAATCATCATCAATGCTGGCCTGTAAGTCAACATCACAACCATATTTCGAGTTTTACTTTTAAGACAACGTTTTGTGCTTTTGGAGATATTTACTAGTAAACTATAACATATGTAGATCCTTATTATAAAACGTGTTCATTATAAGTAGCATTGCTCTTCTGAAACGGCTTAAAAACTGAAACAGGTCTATTGACTTCTTTTTCAAAACTGCAGACCTGAGTAGCTCTGCATAGTGACACTTCACAGATTTTCAGTTACTTGTTTTATTGTTGAAAAATAGTTATGGAACTTTTTGAACCCTATGGAGTTTGAATTTCTTTAAAAAATCACAACTAAGTACAGAGTTTTGGGTGGACATAGGGGGTAGGTGAAAAGTGAGATTTTCAAAGTGCATGTCTGAGTAAGGGAAAACTAAAAGCTAAGATTTCATAATGTGTCCTCTTTAAACAAACCTCTTGTGCCCTGTGTCTCCCCCTGCAGGTGGCTGGTGTACTCTCAGCCGTTCTTCCAGGGCATCCCTCGGGTCCTGGAGGTCGGAGGTTACTCAAACCCAAAGGCCTGGGGAGTGGAGCAGCCGTATGTTGGGTCTCTGCACCCGCTCAAAATAGTGAGAACGGCTTTATTTCATAGTTTGATTATGTTCAAAATAACGTGCGTCTTCTGAGGGGTGCTCTAAATTAAATTGTGTACAGTGGCTCAGTGACTAGCATTTGAGTTTTGCTGCAAGAAGGTCACAGGGAGGGTCATAGTGGGTCTTTCTGTGTGGAGTTTGCATGTTCTCCCTGTGTGTCAGTGGGTTTCCTCTGGGCACTCAGGTTTCTCCCATCAGCCCAAAACATGCACAGTAGGTCAAATCCTCCAGTTAATGTCCTGACGAAGAATAGCTCAAGATCTAGAGATGAGACCCACCCTCGTGAGGCCTTAATAACTTTAAACTTGGAGTCTGGTCCAAAGGAATCCTGTCTGCAGTAGGCAATCCATGTTTCCTCAAACTAGTTTTAGCTGATATTGTCATGTTTTCTACTTGAGATGAACTCCAGTGAACAGGAAGAGCCTAGTGCCAAAACCACATGTTTACCAACACTTTCTCTCAACATAAGCTGGTGAATGTTTCTCATTCATAACCTGTTATTCATGTCTTTTACGATGTGGAAGAAAGTTGTTTATGAATAAATTTTTGTAGATGACAGATCCATTCAAGTCATAATAATTTTGTAATTTACAGGGAGAGCCCCGGGTGGAAAACATGGGAGAACCAACGGTGAGTAAAAGCTTCCTACTTCAGTCTATACGAGTGTATGTCTGTATGTAACACTGCCCCCTGCCTGTGTGCGTGTGCGTTTGCAGATTGTCGTCTATGAGAAGCCGTATTTCTGTGGGAAATCCAGAACCATCACCACAAACGCCAAAGACTTCATGACGAGGACAGAGAGGGGACAGCAGGCGTTCATGCACAACGTGTGCTCACTCAAGGTCGTGGGAGGAATGTGAGTGCTGCTTATACCTGGAGATACACCTGTTTAAAGGCCCTGGGGTCAAAGGGCACAGGATGTAGTATAAATACATGTTTATTTAGTGTGTGTACCTGTGGTAAATATTTATCATAGTTTTACATCATTTAAGTGGCAGTTTGCAGACAAGAGTTGTAAAAAGGTTACTCATTCCAAGGATTAGAGCTGAGTTCTAAAATGGAATACTTTTATGTCATTAATGTACAAAATTCCGTCCAAAACAACAATTTAGCACAGTTTTTTAACAGTTTAAACATTCATTCAAGAAAATAAAGGTAATATAGTCAAAACTATTGTGTATATTTGTTTAGTTTTGCTCCTTGTTGATGGTTGCAAGGAAAAGGTTATGGAATCTACATATGTAACATTTGGTGCCCTTGTCCAACCAGGTCTAAACTAGGGCTGGTCCAGGTCTTAGAAGAATTGCCGCAGAAGTTCTAAACCAGGGGTGCTCACACTTTTTCAGCATGCGAGCTACTTACAAAATGACCAAATCATAAAGATTTACCCAATACAAAGCCAAGCAAACTGCACTGAAACACTCTGTGCCCTTTTTTTGGACCCTCACCCACAGTTTGAGAACCTCTTCTTTAAGAGAACTTCCTCTGGCACTTTACACAAAACTGTGAAAAAAGTGAAGGAAGATTTTTAAACCTGTTTTTTAAAGTTCCAAACTGGAGTTGCATTCTTTTCTGGTTTTGCAGTGATTTTTACCAGCCTCTGCACATTTACCAAACCAAACACACATCGTGACAAACACAGATGCATTTGTGCACTTTTGTTAGACAAACTTCAGCCAAATGTGGCAGTAGGTCTGTTCTGTAGATCTGCTCTATGCTGTAGACCTGCTTTGTGCCAACACTGTAACACAAATTTAGACTGGTTTTTGCTTCACGTTTCGTCTTACTCTTCTAATCAGCGCACACTGTGGAAGGGGCAAGCCGTGCATAGGGAGCGTGTGTATTTGTGATGTGCCGTAGAGTCTCCGCGGGCTGCACTGAGCGCACAGGCTGCACTGAGACGCCCCACACGCTCCTGCACCCCGCTACAAGTTTACTGCCAACAGCAGCGGCCGTAATGAAATATGATCACACTTGTTGAGTGTCAGACCTTGAGTGAGAGACAAGACCGAGTCCAAACGCGAGTCCGAGACGAGACACGGCGATCGACGTATTGAGCACCCCTGTTCTAAACAATGCTATACAGTGATATTAACTGCTCTGCTCTCTCTCCCAGCTGGGTGGGCTATGAGAAGGAAGGCTTCCGTGGGCACCAATATCTTCTGGAGGAGGGGGACTACCAGGACTGGAGGGTGTGGGGCGGCTGTGACGCTGAGCTGAGGTCTGTGCGCGTCATACGAGCGGTGAGTCACACTACAACATGGACAAATATAATTTCTTCCACAGGAGTTAAGACTTATATTTAACACCCTCTCCTGTAGGACCTGACGGACCCTGTGATGGTGATGTTTGAACAGCCGGATGAGGAGCAAGGGGAGCAGGAGGAAAACACGTTTGAAGTGACGGAGGCCATTCCTGATGTAGAACTGTATGGGTTTAAGACGTCCACCCGCTCCATCCAAGTCCTCAGTGGAGCGTGAGTCTGACACTGCAAACAGGACAATGCACAGAGACAATTTACTGAGAGTATGCACGAGGGTGAAATGCACAGTACACACTGTAGTGCAGAAAAAAGCAAGTGCAGTTTTGGTTTTTGTCTCTGAAAAGCTACACATTTAACACACAGACCTAATGAGACCTAATGAAAATTCAAAAGAAGCCAGTTTTGCCACAATGCACAAATTTGAGGCAGAGAAAATACTGATACTGATGCTGTGTTCTCATTTACACAGAGTTTTGCAGCAGAAAAAAATAATATAGTCGTTCCTCACTATATCGCGGTTCACCTTTTGCGGTCTCGTTGTTTTTTTTTAGTGCAATTTTGCATGCTTTTTTTTTTTTTTTTTTTTACAATTGTGTTCAATTTTTTTTACACAATGAACGTTGTGTAATGAACACAATGCATTGTGTTCCTCCCCCTGCTTCCTGATTGGCTAAGGAACTGGAGACCATTGTCAATCAGTCTCCTCCATGCTGTGTCTCCTGTACAGTACAGAATGTGTTCAGCTGCCAAATTTACATAAATGTTTGATCTCTAGCAGTGTGATTCTGAAGAAATTTTCTCCTCTACAAAACCCACAATGTTGACAAAACGTTCTGCACTCACAAAGGCTCCCACGGTCGCACCCAAAAGACAGAGGAAGATGCTAACAATCGCACAAAAAGTTGGACTTTTGGACATGCTGAAGGAAGGTAGAAGTTACGCGGCTATAGCAGAGTCCTGCACCGGGTCGGGTGCGGGCAAATAGTTGCTGAAACGGGCGGGTTTTAACATTCTGGAATTTTACGGGCGGGTATGCAGACAGGTAGTTCCGGGTAAACCTCTGCGCCGGAACACTGGTCCTTTCTCCTGCAGTCACCCCCATGACTCCTGGTTCAGTTCTGGTTTAGTCCTGGTTTAGTCCTAATTCAGTCTTGGTTTATTCCTCCTCTTCAGTCCTAGGTTAGTTCTGGTTTAGTAGTGGTTTAGTCCGTGGTGTATGCAGCGCAAAAGTTTGATATAATCTCGGGGCGGGTGTGGTGCTGTACTGAGCGAGTGCAGGACTCCAAAAATGGACCCATGAACGACTCTGCGCTGCAGGCTCCATTACGGAATAAACGAATATTCGGAAAATAACATAAGGACGACAGCAGCAATAAGTTTTAAGAAGGATTCAAAAAGGGTTAGGTAACTGTCCTGTCTGAGAAAAGTGTATGAAGTGTGTGATGTTGAGGGGTTTTACAGCCTTAAAACAGATATAATAATTGTAAAATATAATAATTGTAAAATATAAAGTTTACTACTTCGCGGATTTATAATTTTTAGAATGTAACCGCCTGCAATAAATGAGGGACCACTGTACATACATTTTCCAAGAATAAATTGCTTGAACCACACACACAAACTGCACACACCATTTTTTACTTTGCAAGCTCCATTTTGCACCATTGCGGCAGACTGACAGAAGTGAAGCTGCCAGTCTGGTGGGTTAAGTGTCTTGCCACAGGACAGCTGACTTTTGGGTTGAGGGACTACTTTTCTAACCACTGTTGCTCCTATAAATTAGAATTAGCCTCATATTTTCAAACAATTGTCTGTCAAAACAGTCAGTTATGATGTTTGCTCACTAAACTGAAGGTTGGTAGTTCAAAATTACATCGAATATTGTTGAGACCTGGAGGTAAACATAAAAATTCATGAAACCTCATTTCATCTGTGCGACCCAGTGCAGCTACAACACAGAGTTTCCATCTCCTCAAATACATGCAGTAGGAAAATACTTGACATCTGCATGCAACTGCGCGTAAAAGTAATACTGGTACTTAGCAGTATTCCAGTAGTTCTAAGTTTGTTTTGTTTTGTTTTGTTTTTCTCCTCAGGTGGGTGGCGTATTCCCATGTGGACTTCTCAGGGCACCAGTACATTTTGGAGAAAGGTTTTTACAACACCTCTGCAGACTGGGGCTCTCTGGACAGCCGCATCTGCTCCGTACAGCCCATTCTACCTGTGAGCGTCCTGAGAAATTATACTTCAAAATTCAATCTACAAATACATGTTCATTTACATAATCTAATCTAATCTAATCTAATCTAATCTAATCTGTAATGTTTGTTTTTTAGATTCCAAGAGACAGCACAACAAATAGGAATCAGGTATGTGTTGTTGAGCATTTTAGCAAATCCTCTGACCCTCTCCTCTGCTCCGTCTGACCCTCTCCTCTGCTCCGTCTGACCCTCTCCTCTGCTCCGCCTGACCCTCTCCTCTGCACCGCCTGACCCTCTCCTCTGCACCGCCTGACCCTCTCCTCTGCTCCGTCTGACCCTCTCCTCTGCTCTGTCTGACCCTCTCCTCTGCACCGTCTGACCCTCTCCTCTGCTCTGTCTGACCCTCTCCTCTGCTCCGTCTGACCCTCTCCTCTGCTCCGCCTGACCTTCACCCCTGTTCCATCTGACCCTCTCCTGTGCTCTTCCACTTCGTCTGATCCTCTCCACTACATCATCCTCTGCTCCATCTGACCCTCTCCTCAATGTCAAATGTCTTTTTTTGTTATTTTAAATATATTTAAATGTAAGATTTCTGTTCTCTGCAGATATTATTGTACAATGAACCAGATTTCCAAGGCCAGTGCCTTGCCATCGACCGCACCAAGGAGGCGCTATCGGACAAGTTACTCCCCAAGTCCTGTAGAGTGGTGGGTGGCAGGTGAGATATGAGATATTTGGAACTCACCATTAACTTCGTTACTGGCGAGGGGTATTGTTCTTTATTGGTTTCTTTATTATTCTTTTTCCCCACATATAATCGCATTTTTGACCCACTGAACGTCGATGAAAAGTCCCCAAACCGGGTATCAAATGAATGGGCAGCTGAGATGCATATTTTGGCGTAGCTTCATGAAACTCAGAACAGTGATAGAACTCAACCAGACAAGCAAAAAAGCCAATCACTGTGCAGGCCTATGACGAACAGGAAGTCAGCCATATTGGACCAAAAATGTGCCACCGTTTTGACTTGGGTGTGTGCAAAAAGATTCAGGTCCCTAGGGTTTGGTCCAAATGAGCTCAGTTTTGACATGCCACAAAAAAACACCATTTCCTGTTTCTTTGGTGACTTGTTAAGGCCACAGGCATTGGTCTAAAGAGCTCAAATTCAAATCACAATTGCGTGATCTGGGCAGGCATTTTAACTATATTTTGATTAGATGTTTAGTTTTTATTTGGGGACACAGGTCATGTTTATGAATTTAAACTCTAAATCTTACATACAGTTCCTTTTCATTTCTATGTGAATTGCTTGTTATGAAGGCACAAAATGTCCCCCTATCTTGTTAAAATGTTCAAATCCACACTATATCATTGTGTTCTAAGTTTTTGGTTGTATTGTGCTTTCAGCTGGGTGTTGTATGAGAACAAACAGTTCCAGGGAAACATGTACGTGTTGTCAGAGGGAGACTATCCAAACCTCACCAGTATGGGATGCCCTGCCACCTGCTACCTGCGCTCGGTCAAGGCTGTGCCAGTGGTCAGTATTCTGCAACTGTTTACATTAGAAAAATAATAAATAAATAAATAAATTCATCCAGGAACCTTTTTTCAACCTTTTTGATAGTAATTTTGTTAATTCACCTTTTAGTTATTTTGGCAGTTAAAATATTTTAAATCGTTCTGATTTATTTATTTTTACATTGAAAACAGAAATCGATTAAACCTTAAAGAAACTGTGCTAAATTAATTTTTTTTTTAAAAAGAGTCTCATTTTGTTGTCTTGTGTTTATTTCTCCTCAGACGTTATCAGTCCCGTCCATCTCGCTGTTCGGTCTGGAGTGTTTGGAGGGCAAAGAAATCACCACGGAAACGGAGATCTTCAGTTTAGTGGAAGAAGGCTACAACAACCACGTCCTGTCTGTGCGCGTCAACAGCGGATGGTGAGAAATATTAGGTTTTTTTTACATTCAAAACAAAAAAAAGTATATATCTGCTGTAATTAAAAAAAGAAACCATGCACATGTAACTGTTATGCATTTTTCTGTCTATGGATGGTGATATGGCTAATAAATTTAAGTCTTAGCCCATTTTTATATTAAGTAAGGGCCACATTTTGGAAAGAGATTAACCCTTGAAGAGCACCTGTACTGTAATTTTAGATATACTATATTTATGACCGAGCAAGTTCTACTTCTCCTCCTAATCTGACTCACTTTTGAATTTTTATTTTCAAAAACAAGTAATTATGTCTTTTTATTTTATTGTACATGGACAGAAATTACAGAAACTATGCCATTACATTTTAATTTAATTTGTCCAAAACACCACCAGAGGGCGCACTGAAACTATACACATCTTCAATTTACCAACATTATAAGAATACCTCCTTTAAACAATGCTATTAATGACTAAAATTACTAAACTCTATACATCTGTATTGTTTTCCAGTTGGGTGATATGTGAGCACAGTAACTACAGGGGGCGCCAGTTCCTCCTGGAGCCCATAGAAATCACAAACTGGCCCAAGTTCAGCACCATGCAGACCATCGGCTCCATGTACCCAGTGAGACAGGTCAGTTTTCTGTGTTTTTCTACCTGTGCTGGTCTCAAAGCACTTTACATCAAGGAACCATCGTCCCATTCACTTCACTCACACACATTCATACACCAGTGTACACAGACACTTTAGTTAAGTGTCTTGCTCTAGACTTAGATTATTATTTTTTCATTCAAAACTGAAATTAACTGGTTGAAAATAATATTTTATAGTAACAAGGTCCAATTCCCAGTGCATCCTCAAACATGGTGACTCACAGTAACTCCTGAGCAGCCTGGGAGTTTCGGTGTGGAGTTTGCATGTTTCCAGCCTGTGCTTCTAAAATCTCACAGTAGTATTTTTGTTCTTTTAGCCAGTCTAAACCACAGGAATATACCGCTTAATATATTGTCAGTGAATATTACCTTTAACTTTGTTGTTTACAGAAGCGCAGCCTGTTCCGTGTGAAGAGCCGGGAGCGGGGGCACTACCTCTCTGTGCAGGGGGGAGTAGAGGAGATGAAGTCGGGCAGAGTCGTGGTGACGCCAGAGGTGGAGCCGATGAGTGACATCTGGTACTACGAGGCCGGACTCATCAAGAACAAGGTACTGCAAACAATACAGGGAATAAATACTGTATAGAAGTATTCAGTACAAGAAGTAGCAGTAAGCAATATCTGGAGCACTGATTGTCTGAATAATTATTTTTTCTATAATGAAGTTGTGGTAGTAGTTATAGAAGTAACAGAGATGTATAATATTTTTCGGACTGTAAGTCGCACCAGCTAAAAAATGCGTAATGAAGAAGAAAAAACATATATAAGTTGCACCGGAATATAAGTTGCACTTTTTGAAGGAAATCTATTTTATAAAATCAGAGACCAAGAACCAACATTTCATGTTGAAAGTGAAGTTCTAGTAATAACAATAGAAGAGAGAACAACAGACTGTTAACACCACATATGAACAGTTCTTCAGGTAACTATGGTAAACTTGTTCTGTTCTTTATACTAAACTCTCCATCTCACTCCAAATCACTAAATCCATTGAATTCTTCATCCTCGGTGTCACTTCTGAGCCACTCTGTGACCTCCAGAGGTAAACAGAGCGCTGCTTCCTCTTCTGTGTAGCTGTTGTCAGATTCAGTTCTAGTTAGAATTATTCCAGCCTTTCTGAATCCCGACAGGATGGTTTCAGTTGTCATTAAAGTCCTGGCTTTGTCCATCCATCCAGTGACTTCCAGGGAAGTTGCATGGTGCACCCTCCTGATTCTCGTGAAGCTGTGTCCTCCATCGCCACTTTCTGCCAGTCAGTTAGGTAGAGAAGGTTTCAGAGGTAGTCATCAGGACACTTGTGGCCGAAATCACTGTTTTCAAGACATTTCAGCTAACATCCAGAAGTCGTTTAAAACATGTTACTACATTGAGCATCTAACCTTAAGTAGGAAAACATGTGTCCTTACTGTGAGTGGGCTTGCATCTCCACAGACCTGACCTATTCCTGCTTGTTTCCATGGAAATGTTGTTCCTTTGGTAATAATAGTCTACAATATGGGACAAAACTTGTTTATCTCCATGGACAATGTGTGAATGAAAGTATGGTTCTAACTTTCTATTTCAATAGAAACATGCAGGCGATGTGACACTTCCAGAAAGTTACATACCACGGCTTTAAATAGGAGGCGTTTTAAAGTGAAACTGACCTTTTTTTTTACATGCTAGTGTCATATGGGTCATGTACTGCTTTTGTGATCTGCCTGACTCTACCCTGATCTTACAGAATTATTTTAACTTTTACTTGACTATTCAATAAAAAGACATAAAAGCATAATGTATTATAATATATACATATACATTCTCCTCATGTTAATCCCCGTGTATTTGTGTACCTGCAGCTGTCGCCCACCATGAGCCTGCAGGTGATGGGGAATGTGGAGCCTGGAGCTAAAGTGGTCCTGTGGTCTGAGAACAGGCAGCCCATCCAGAGCTGGACGGCCCAGATGAAAGGCCTCGTGACCAGCCTTACCTTCGCCGGCATGGTCCTGGACATCAAAGGTACTGCCCATACACGCACATGATGCCAGTTTTTTTTTTTTTTATCATTTGGTTTGGTGGGATAGTACCTCTGGTCGCAAATCAGATAATAATCAGTGTTAAAACTGGTATCCAAACACTCATGGACCACTGTGGAACCTACCTGGACCACTGAGGGATTATACAGATATAAGACCACATGAGAACATAAAAGAAAATACTAAATACTACTTAATACTCTCTCTCAAAAAAACCCCATAACTGTTGATAATTTACACAAAACTTTCAAACTGAAAATTAATATAGGCTACAAATATGTACCTTAGAGCAGTTTTGCGATGTATAAAACATAAATGAATAAAATATACTTTGAACATGAAATAAGGTAGAAAAACAGAAATGTATCCAAAATAAACTATTTATCCAGCCGTTCTACAATCTCTCTAATAAAAAAAATAAATATACTTATTTATATACAAAATATCTGAAAATAAACTTTGTTAAGCTTTACCGTTTCAACTCGGTTATATGAGTTTGGAGATTGTTTGACACACAAATCGAAATTGCGATCAAAATTCAATTAATTGCACAGCCTTACTAAGATTTAAAGTTGAAAATCACATTCCATTATCTAAATAAATAGGGTTTCTTATTACAATTGTGGTATGAGAATCAGTATTGAGTCTATTCTTTAGTATCGAAATCGAGTTGAAATTGTATTACTTAAATGAAATCATTTATTGAGCTTATCATCTCTCAACCCTTTTGGAACCCACTGCTCTAAATAAGTCTTGTGCATCCTTCCATAGTCACTATTTCCCTTAACATTCCCTTTTTCTGTCGTGCAGGAGGGAAAACGTACGACAAAGACCACGTGGTGATCATGCATGAAGACGAGGATCGGCCCAGTCAGCAGTGGGAGATCGAGATGCTCTAGTTCTGCCTTTACGATATCGCACACACGCCTTATACTGCGGAATATGAACGTAAAATATATATTATAGAGTTTATTTGCAAATACAGATGGGGCGTTCAAAGTACAACATGAGGTTCATCATTTACTCCTTGCATAGCACTCTCTTCAAATCTCAAACGTACTTTCAGCCATTACGTTTGTATTTTAGAATTCATTTTTAAAAAGTATTAGGGCTGCACCGATGAATCAACTGATCATGACTAGTAGACTACAAAAAAAGTCATATTCTGAACCTCGTAATCATTATCTAGACTATACAAACTCTTAAGTGGAATTATTAAATCAAAAAAAGTCCAAAAATAATGAACAATTTCACATTTTTATCAACTGATACTTTGCTGTGACGTCACGCTGAGGTTTTGCAGTATGTATTTTTTTAGGCCAGAATGTTCAGATGGTGACACAAAACATGCATAGATAGTCTGAAAATGTAAAAAAAAAAAATACAAAAAATACAAAAAGGATTTAAACAAGTTGGCATCAGACCCCCGAGGATGTTGACAACATGAGCTGCAAAGTATAAATACTATACTTTATTCGTAAATATTCTCTATAAGCTGTCAGTCTGCGTATTTTAACATTTATTTAGTTGATAAGGTATTTAAAAAGTCTCAGTGTGCAATGGAATCAATCACTGGACTAGTCACTACTAAAATGAAATGAGTTGCAGCCCTAAATATATACACAGGATACACACATGACTTGTCAAAAGTTTGGATGCATTTTCTCATTTAAGTTTATCTACGCTGCAGAATCTCACTAAAAGTATCAGAACTATGGCTACGTTTACACTGAAACAAATCATAGTATCACTGTATCAGAAACGATCTGCGTTCACACATGTCGTTTCTGTGTCCGCAAGCCTCGCTATCCACACACCTTTGAGCATATTTGTTTACGTTTTACAGAAATGAAACTAAAACTACATGGCTCATTTGCATAAACTAAGCACTTAAAAAACAGCTCACTATTGTGCGCTGATGCGGTTCAACTTCTGTCGGACTAAAGGACACGACTCAGTGGAATATGAGTGTTCTTTCTGTGACAAAGGGGTGTTCTGCTGATGGTGAGTCCGTTTTGTGTTTTTATCACGTTGGAGATGGTTCATGTTAAACTTTTCAGAGATTATACATCTGCAGGTCATATACACAGACCGTAGATATGAATGGACATATATTCTAGACTCTTAGCGTTTTGGCGGTCAATTACTTCGTGGTGCGTAGAACTACATCAGTGTATCAGTGTTTTCAGACGTACACACAGTGCTGGATCATCTGTACTCAGATGAATTCGTAGGAGCTGGCGGCACCAGATCGTTCCGTCTCTGGAGCCGTTTTCAATCGGATTAGTGTGGACGAACACCGCATCCACAAAGAAAATGACTCGAATACGTAGTAGTGTGGCCTATGAATGAACACATACGGAATGTTGCAAACAAAATTCTAACTCAGAATAACCCAAAAACTTGTAGATTTCAAATGTTCACCCTCATTGAGAGAAGGCCACAGCACAGGGTGGATATTTTGAGGATTTGAATCTGAAATATAAAAAAAAAATTTGCTGACTTATTAGACTTTTTTCTTTGCTATACAATTCTGTATATCTTACGTCATTTATTTTATGTCTTTCCGTACGTAACTAAAAGTAGAAAGTAGTAAGCGTGAAGAAAATATTGAATGAGGAGGCGTGTCCAAACTTTTGACTTGTCCTGTATGTTGTCTGCTTTTGCAAATGAACTCTGAATAAATCTATAAATACAACTCTATAAAAATACTGTTGATAAATAATTGTCTGTATAAATATGCCACACGCTTTCAGGGAATCCATTGCCACTTCCTTTTCTGTACAATATCTGTGTGCCTTCAGTTGTAGGCCTGTTTTAGCTGTGATCCACCACCATTATAAAACATACGTGTCAGGAAGACTTTGTATTTTAAATATTGTCATAACTGTAATTTTATGAAGTTGTTGTTGTGTATTTTTCTCTGAGTGCCTTTGTCTGTCTGTGATAATTGCAGGAAAATTGTCTTGTATTTTTTGAATTGCATGTTAAAGGTTTACCATGCAACTTTTCTGATGGGGTGCCTGTTTGCGTTGCTTGAAATGTTCCGCAGTTTGGCTTTAAAACATGCTGGTCTTTCAATTATGCGACTAAAATCTTAATTTAGCACTTATTTTGAGCTTTCATGACCTGCTTCAAGCTTACCATATAACATCCCAGGTGTAGCAGTAACGTGGAGATCATCAGTGGCGTATACCCTCCACTACCCACCAGAAAAGTTCCAGAGTTTACCTTTACCATATTGAGACCTGTATCCTCCGTAGTTTGGCTCTGGGCAGATGCAAAACAATGGACGCACTTGTAGTTGATGCTTATTCTGTTTACAAAGGAGAGAGCTGAGTTCCAAGCCTTCAGAAGAGGATTTTGTCAAATGAAAACAGTGAAAATCTTGGCCAAATATTTGAATGGGCTTTAAGTGTATCCAAAAACATGTTACTCAAGTGTTGCTGTACCGACTTTATAATGTTAATATATTTTATACAGAGATGTATTTGAAATGTATATGAAGGGAGAGGTTTTCAAATTATGAATAAAAATAAAGTTCAATATAAAATGTTTTTGTGTCCTGTTTCACTTCTGTCTAAAAATACTTGACATTATTTTGTAAAGTAAATATTTAAAATCTGAAAATTGTGATTCTTGCTAGTAAAGTTTTCCAGTGTTTTGAATTGAATTATGTTTGTTGAAACTTTACAATGACATCACGCTGGGGGTGTTCTACATGTATATGAATGGCGAAATGTTCATTGGTAACCATGGTAACTCGATGGACGCATTAGCAAACACTGTCCAAGTTTCAAAATATAATTTATTATAATCTGCTGAGCAATAAAAGGAATATTGAAACTTTGCAGAACCTTAAGAATACATACAATTTAGATAATAAGGATTTTTATGGGTTTCTTCAAGTGAGAGATTATTTAGAGAATACTAAAACAACAACTAAACTCCCTTTTGGGTATACCTGGACTTTTTCTAAAAGCACATAGAGATGAACCAAGATCAAAAATGGAAAGGAAAAGGAAAGGAAAAATGGGAAAAGAACATTCACAGTTCTGGTCTCAGGTTAGGAGCAGTACTGAAAAAGTTCTCTTTGTTACCTTACAGCACAATTTTGAGACACTGCACCTTGGGACAAGGCCTGCCCATCTTAGAGAACATAAAATACAAAAAAATATATTTTTAATATACTACTGGCTGCTGGAAAGAAGTGTATTATGAGAAGATGGCTTAGTGATAACGTTCCTTGCCTTGAAGTTTGGATGAATGTAGTCCATACTATTTACATAATGTTTATACGTACAAAAAACTGACATTTTATATGAGACTTGACTTTGACAAATTGGAGAATTACTGGAAAACTTGG